AACACATATTCACTCAAAAGGATCTCAACATGCGTCAAAGAAGGTCGATAGAACTCCTCAAAAACTATGATTGTGACATCATGTATCACCCAGGTAAAGGCAACGTGATAGCCAATGCACCCAGTAGGAAAAGTGCAAGTACATTAGCTCATTTGATGGTTTCAGAATGCAGGCAGATATGGGCCGCACAATAAGTATAGCTTCAGGACCTGAAGAGAGTCACATGTTTGGGCCACCTGACTGTTCAACCTGAGTTAATCCAAAAAATAAAAGAAGCTCAGTCCGCCAATTCTGCCCTAACAACCCTCAGGAAAGAGGCAGAATAGAGAGTTAACTCAGAATTCCAAGTCTCTGCCGATGGATTGCTTAGATTTCAGGACAAAGTGTGTGTTTCAGGTGATAGCAAGCTGAAAATGGACATTATAACAGAGGTTCATAGCTCAAAGTTTGTCATGCATCACGAAAGCACTGAGATGTACCAAAATATGCGATCCTGATTTTGGTGGAACGGGATGAAAAGAGATATAGCCGATTTTATTTTAAGTGTTTGGTATGTCAGCAGATCAAAGGAGAGCATCAACGCTTAGGTGAGCTACTTCAGCCACTACCAATTTCAAAGTGGAAGTGGGAACCTATCACCATGGATTTTGTGACAAAATTGCCTAAGGCACGCTCAGGACATGATGCCATATAGGTAATTGTTGATCGTCTTACCAAGTCTTGCCACTTCCTGGCCATCAGAATGACTGATCCGTTGGATAAGTTGGCAAGAATATACATTCGAAAAATATTCAGACTACATAGAGTACCAGTGACAGTAGTGTCTGACAGGGAGCTCAGGTTCACATTTCGGTTCTAGTATAGCTTTCAGCAAGTCATGGGAACGAAATTGTTTCTTAATACTTCATTCCACCATCAGACCGATGGATAGTCAGAAAGGACGATCCACACCCTTGAAGATATGCTCCGAACTAGTGTTCTTGATTTCGGAAGCCATTGTGATGACCATCTACCCCTGATAGAGTTCGCCTACAACAACAATTATCAAGAAAATATCTCCATTTATTGGTAATTCTGAGATGGTTTAGAGGCATTATAATTACACTCTAGATCTTTGTTGTTCTGGTTGCAACCGAGTTTATTAGTTTTTAAAAAGTTACAAATTAATCTTTGTATTTTGAATAAAGATTACAATTTAATTGAATAGGAAGATTGCATCATTAAAGTCATTATTAAAACACTAATGACTTTTCTAAAGAGAAGGCATCCAGCTCAAAAAAGGGTAAGAGAAAAGTTGAAGAATTTTAATCAAAACTACATATAGAGGTTACTGGGTCAAATATTTAGATTGTAGTTTTCTAATATTTTATTCTCAATTTTGTTTGAGATTATTCATTTTTCTTGAGGATTTTACATTTTTTAGATGTTTTTTTTTTTGTTAATACTTAGATTGTTTGTTTCATTAGTTTATTTTATTAATCTTCAAAATAGAGATTGGGTTATAATTTTATTAAACTAATGGAACCGTATATAATAGGTTGAAAACCTTAAAATTTCAATGTAATATCATGACTATAATCATCTTTTAAATGGTAAAATGAGACAATTCTTGTTGCTTATCAGTCACGCCAAGTAGCTTGTTATTGAAAAGAAATTCTTTAATGTGCTACTTGAAGGAAATATTCGTTATGTCTTGTGCATAATCTTTCACCATAAGATGGTTTTTCAAGATTTTGTGTGATTGTTTTTTTTTTTCTCTCTCTCTCTAAAAATTAGCATTACGTACAAGCAGATTTCTAAATAATATTCTCACCCAATACCATCAAACTGACTTTGTTTACTTTGTGAATCATGCACGTGAAGATGATGATACATATTTCTACTATTATGCAAATACATAGAATTTATGATGATGGGCAAAAGAAAAAGGATTAAATAAATATATTAAACTTGATTAATATTCTTTAAGTACTAATTTAATAATAAAATTACTGTTTAATTTAATTCAATTGTTAGGGCACAACATGACTCCAATTGCCCAGCATGGTTAGGACTTATTTTATTTAGGGTTTTTGACAGGGTGGTGAAGATTTATTAGGGTTTTTTTGCGAGTTACAGACGGGCAACTTCAATCAACAATGGCGGAGCGGTCAGCAATTACACTGGGAGGCAAGGGCTTCTCTCTCTCCGCCAGGTCTGTCTACACAATAGCCACCGGCATTCATCAAGTGCGAATCGACTCGTCTGTGCTCGATCGACTCTCTAATCAAAATCAGTCATCTCTTTTAAAATCTCCATTTCCTGTACCCAAAACGCTTACTCTAGAAGAAACCCGCGCTGCCCTAACTGTTCTTCTTAACAAGCTGCTGCTATCGACTCCTTCCTCTATCCGTACGGTTATTCCGTTTCATATATCCGAAACATTGAATTCGAAGCCCGAATCCTTAGATCTCCAATCCGTTGACGTGAATGAAACGGAAAATGTTGTGTTTGGAAGATCATTTGCTTCTCTGACCGGCATTTGCGCAATTTTGGATCACAAAACGACGGCTCTGACTGCCATTATAGACGCCGTTGCAGCTCTGTCATGCGAAACATCGAAAGGTGACGTGGCATCATTTGGTTCTTTGGATTCTGGTGATGGGTACGGTGATAAGGAAGCGATTGGAGTTGCTAGTGATTTGAAGGTTTTGCTCAACGGGTCTAAGTTGGTGGGTAAAATTAAGAGTGAAACAATTTTGAAAATTCCCAAAATAAATGGGAAACTGAGGGAAGTAGTGAAGCAGTTACATTCCTCAACTCGGATAGAATTGAATTCGGGCGTGAAAGGGAACTTCGGGACAGGGGAGGCCGTGGGCACATCCTTGTCCCCGCTTTCTGTAGCTCTCCGGAGCTTGGGTGAGGGTTGCTTGTCTCGTGCAAAGTTGAATTTGGAATCGATTGAAAATGAGAGCTTGAAAATTATTATGGTGGCTAAGTTTGAGAAGGATTGCCCGAGCAGCTATGATTTGAAGAACAAGTTTAAAGTAGCTGCTGATGCACTTTTTGAGGAGGATTACACTAACTTTGCCCACGGGGTTAATGGATTGTTAGAAATTGTGTGGAAAACTGTGGCGTGGGAGGCAGTGACTGCGTTTTTTTCTCTCGAGGGTGCTGAGTTGATGAAGGACAAGGACATTCAAGGTGTTGACCTCAATAACGCAGATGCAAAGGTAGACAGGAAGAGTGAAAAGAAGAAGAAGAGTGAGAAAAAGGTGGTTTTGGGAAAAGGGACTAGTGCGATAGTGCTGTATATCAAGGATAGATTGTTGAACAAAGGAGCAATTATAGGTGATAATTTAGATGTGTTGAATAGATTGGTGGAGGATCTTTTGCTGTTTTTCGATCCAAAAGATCCCGGGTTTGATTGCTTGCTGGAGAAAGTGAAGGATATTGTGGAAAGCAATGAAAGCAGAAGACTTCCCAAGCTTCCAAAGGTATAAACTGGCACGATTATTTTTTGTGCCTTGATGATTTGGATGACTCAGTGAGTGCATGATAGACTTAAAATTTTTAAGTGCCCCTAGCTCTCAAAAAAAGAAAAAAGAAAAAATAATTAAGTGTCGGTAGATATAAGGCGTATAGATGATTGGTTGGTCCATTACCTTTTTACTTGAAAATGCAGAACTCTTGGGATAAGGGGTAGAGATGATGAGGAAAACGTGGTCATGATTAGATATAATGTAACTTTTTCATTCTAACTATCTATCAGGAGGGAAAATAATTGTCAGTACTACCATAATTGATGCAGGACCAGTAGATTTAGTTGGCTTCTTTAGCGATTAGTGTGATTGCACCATGATTGTTGTCAAGGGAATTCTCAGAATGCTGCAGTAATGTATGATAAGTGAGATTGTCCAGTAATGTATGATAGTATTAAAAGAAATACTTACAGTAACACTACTAGTGATATGAAAAGAAATAACTTTAAATAAATTTAGAAATCACAAACTAAATCTTTGATGGGAATCAAGCATTTACAGTTGCTGTGCCCCATATCAGTATTAAAGGATAGGACGGATTGTAGTTCGCTTAGTTTCTGCACCTTCATACATAATAGTGAACCTCAAATTATTTGAATCTAATCAGGAGTCCATAATTAGAAAAGAATAGCTTGCAAAGTTGCAAGGAAAAAATGTTTTCCACTTTATAATAGGACATTTGAATTAATAAACAAGAGCATTAGTTTTGGCATGCTGTCAACAAGTTCTAAGTTTTTAACTTTTCATGGTTTTTCTTTTGAAATAACTTTCCATGGTTTTATTTATAAAAAATCCTATATTTACTGAAATTTTCAGTCTCCATGTGGTACTTTCGGTTGGGATGAGACCTGTATAATAATATTTACGTATCTTTTCTCCAATATCTTTCGAATGTTTTGATCTATCTTAGGGTACCCGTGATTTTGCAAAAGAGCAAATGGCAATAAGAGAGAAAGCATTTTCAACCATAACTGAGGTTTTCAAGAGGCACGGTGCTATGGCCCTTGATACTCCTGTTTTTGAGTTGAGAGAAACCCTTATGGGAAAGTATGGGGAAGATTCGAAGTTGATTTATGATCTTGCTGACCAGGTAAATTCATGATTGTTGGTTGAAGTCAAATTGTGTTTTCAGTTAGTCTATCTGGGTTATAATTTTGGTTGATCAATAAGGAAACAGTAAGAACAAACAGTAACTTCTTGCTCATACTTGTTACAGGGTGGGGAGCTTTGTTCTCTACGATATGATTTAACTGTTCCTTTTGCTAGATATGTGGCTATGAATGGTATCACTTCTTTTAAAAGGTATCAAATAGCTAAAGTTTACAGAAGGGATAACCCATCAAAAGGAAGATATCGTGAATTTTATCAATGTGACTTTGATATTGCTGGCCAATTTGAAAAGATGGGTCCAGACTTTGAGATCATTAAGATTTTGACAGAGCTCCTTGATGAACTAAACATTGGGGACTATGAGGTAATAATTGGTTGATAATTCTTCTCTCTGTTAGTCCTGGCAATTCTTTTACATGTTTTAACATGTTTTTTTACTATTATATTTTTTTCTGTCCTCTTTTACATTTGGTTAGACATGGTTTTTTAACTTGTTTCCTTTAGATGGAAATATAGTGACACAATTTATCCATTCAAATTTTTGTAATAATTTATCAAATAACTTTCTGTACCTCTAGAGATGAAAAATATGTAAACTCTCAGGAATAATTTAGTAATATGTGTGTTATTCAATGGTTGGCCTTTTGTTTATAGGTGGTCCCTTGACCAAATAAAATGCCGTATCAAAATGTCTGGGGATATATCTTCTGCTATCACATGCATGTCATAATCTTTGACACGTTTTCAGTGCTTTACAGAGGGTTTAATCGGCCTATATCCAATTTTGACAGGTAAAATTGAATCATAGGAAGTTGCTGGATGGTATGTTGGACATATGTGGAGTGCCCCCTGAAAAGTTCCGAACTATTTGTTCTAGTATTGACAAGCTAGACAAGCAATCATTTGAGCAAGTCAAAAGGGAAATGGTTAGCATCTCTATTCTCTTTGCAATTCTTTTCACATTTGTCAATCTTTTCTTAGGGATCAGATTGTACATATATATATATATATCTTTTGCTTTCTATTGAAAATCATAAAGTAACTTTTTCTTTTGTTAAAAGAATCAAAATAAAAAGCGAGAAAAGAAATATGAAAAATCCAAACAGACGGATATAGATTCCTAATCTGAAGGCATCACAAGACTATGGCCTCCCAATTCCTATAACACTGGGAGAGCCGTGTCTGAAGGCCACCCATGAGGTTTCGCCCATTGTTTTTTTTTTTCGAAATAAAAGAGAAGAATGCTATTATTAACAATAGGTATCGAGAGGGTACTGCCCATATACGAAATAGTTACACATCAATCAAGTGATTGATGACAAACCCATTATCTTCCCAATCTAAAATGTCATGGCCCAGAAATGTCATCCAATCCGATATATCCTGACTAAGCGAAGAGTAAGCCTATTCCTATCAAGCCATAAGGTCTACAATCCCGTAGAAATGCCTCTGGTAATAAGGGTTTGGCCTCCTTTTGAATTCCCTCCCAATGTACATGAGCTCATAAAGCACTCCACTGTTGACAGCTAAACCAAACAACCATGTCCACAGACTCCAGGCAATGTCACTATGTAAAAACAAATGGGAGGGGTCCAAACCCTCTCCCACCCACCAACCAACACATTATACAGATATCTGGGTGCAAAGCGCATTTGGCCTGTGAACTTGCAGCATGTCATCAGTGTTGGGCCTTGAAGAATAGGAGTCCATGCAAACACTTCTTAGGACACTTGAGCTTTCTGAAAAATCTTGGGAAAGAGTACTGGTAACTATCAGGGTTTCGGGTGATGTGGTAAAAAAAAGACAGAAGTAAACAACCCTGATAATTCCGAGATCCAAACTTGAGTGTCAGGCTGACTAAATGACCCTTTTCAGCAATATTGTTCTTACTTTATTAATGCTGAGGGCTTCATAAATTATGTAAGTCTATGGGTTATAATGTTGACATTCAATTCTAATAAATTTCTATGTTAGTCCTCAATATGAATAATTACCTTCTTGGTGGATTCTAAGGATTTTTTGTTGTTTTGGTGAATTATTGCGCTAGTGGATCTGAGGCTATCTTTCTAGCTTTAACATTATCAAAGTTCCCCTTGTAAGCTTAAATGAGATCAAGCAAATTTATCCATGCTTACATAGTAACATTTGAAACAGTGGAACATGGTGGATGAAAATGCTTCACAGACCTCTCATACAAATAGAAGACCATATTGAAGTTGATGCTACCAACCTGGGATCCACCCACTCTCCCTCGAATTTCGATCAATGCTTGCCACATTTTTTTAAAATAATCCCTGTCCTCTGCTGCACATTCTCATGAACGACCATGAGTTGAGAAACTGTTTCAATTAGAGTTCACACCTGAGAGGACATTTTCCTATGTAGCATTTTATCAATCCCATATAAGCACCGTGCCCAGAGTCCCAACAGCAGGGAGGACTTTTGGTGCTACATGTCTACGTCTCTATTAGCCCTTGAATTGCTCTACCTTAGTATTGTCCATGTTTTCTCCTGTAGTCAAACTATCAGACAGTTCCATTTCATTGAAACAACTTTGACAACAGTTTCCTCTTTGGTTATTCAGGATCCTTAGTTTCCTGGAGATGATTATATCTACAACTTTGAAACTCTCCTAATTCACAGATTCCATCTAGGAGGTAGTGCCATTGTTTTGTAGGGATGTAGTGATAGCTCCTAGTCCATTACTCGCCTCTTTCCATATAAGGAGAGGAAAAACCTTGATGCCTTCGTTACCCTCACCTCCAAACTAACGAGTCCCGCTTCAATTGAAGCTGGAATCTTCCATGCCTCCCATTAGCAAATCTTTGCCTAGCATCTGGTTGAACTGGTGAGAAGACCCTCTTCTGTTTGAAGCAAGGAACCTGCAAGAAGATTGTTCAGCATCTTGGACTTGGGTTTTAGGGTCCTCTTCCATAATCCATAATTCATTTGCCTTCCTCTTAATAATAAATTCTAAGAATGGGCCTGTAGGACTCCGCAGTTTTTTGCCTCTAGGGAAGGATTTCCTTACCTAATCACTGCCCGGTTGAATTTTTTTCAACTTTTGTACATTTTCCTTTCTTCTTATTGATTCATGAAATTTTTACTTAAGATTTAAATTTTCTTTGCCCCTGTGCATTCCATTTATCAGACATTTCTTCTGCTGTCCTCTCCTTTCCATTCATATCCAAACTGGAGTTTTGTTTGATGTCATGCATTAATCTTTTAGATATTTCCTCATTTCTGCTAGTTCTATTGATCAGGGTAGTCCTATGTAATATAGAGCCTTTTTAGCTGTATGTTGTTGACTGAGGCAGACTACACTGTTTTCTTCATGGTTTTGGGGCATAACAATTCTGCTACTTGTCATTTTGCCACACAAGATGAAGTTATTGGATTTATACTTTGCCATGTGTGAACCGTTTGTCTAAAAAAAAAATGCTTGGCTGAGTAGATGAACTTATTTGTCCTTATTATGTCTGTCTGTTACCCGACATTTAAGTCTTATATTTTGTGTTTGTTTGGATCTGCTAATGTTGTTTTAGCTGGTGATTTGTTTTTAATGAACATTGTTTAGGTGGAGGAGAAGGGTTTATCTGTAGAGACAGCAGATAGAATTGGCACTTTTGTGAAGGAAAGGGGAGCTCCTCTAGAATTATTATCAAAGCTTAGACAGAAGGGGAGCAAGTTTTTGGAAAACAGTTCATCTGCTGAAGCATTGAATGATTTAAATGTACTATTTGAAGCTCTAGAGAGGTCCAAGTGTATTGACAAAGTGGTGTTCGATTTAAGTCTTGCTAGAGGACTTGATTATTATACCGGAGTTATATTTGAAGCTGTCTTTAAAGGGGGCATGCAGGTAATTGTTCATTTGTGCGTTAAAATAGGTGCACTCATTTTCTATCAATTTCTTTATTCAGTATCAGCTATATAAAATTTGTTCTCAATTTGTGGTGTTATCATTCGGTGCTTGGTTGTCAAATGTATGCATGTCTGGGTTTATGAGTAGAACCTGAGGAATTGGGTGAATCTTTCATATTTATCTTTTTATTGTCCCTCTAAAGCAAATAGAGGAAAAAAAAGATTGCTTAAAACATACTGAATTTCCAGATGACATGAAGCTGTTTTTTGTATTCGTGAGTAATTGTTGATGGCTCAGGTTCAGTGTGGGTCAGCTGGTATGGTTATAGCAGCAAACTGTGTCATTAATGAGCAAAAGCATTCACTTGGTTGTCTATCTCATCTCCTTGCTAGTTTCCTTTTTTTCTTAATCTTTTAATTAAACAATTCTTGTTGATGATCTTCTCCGCAGGTTGGTTCAATTGCTGCTGGTGGACGTTATGACAATCTTATAGGAATGTTTGGTACGAGGCAGGTTCCTGCAGTTGGTGTAAGTCTTGGGATTGAGCGAGTATTTAATATAATGGAAGACCTTCACAAGCAGCAGAACCAGGTATTTCCACACCAAATTCAATATTTTTTTCTTGTATATAATGCATAACACACACTTGATTGATTGCTAAATTGTGGACTGACATTAATATTTTGTGGTTCATCTCCTTGGAATGTTTCATTGATCTGCACCACCTTCGACTATTGAAGCACTTTTTAAAGCAAAAAATTTTGAAATTGAACATTTCATCTATCTGCTATTTACTTCTGCTGGCCAGTAATCACGAAAAGATAATGATAACTAGCGTCAGTCTTTTCTTTTTCTTTTGTGTTTTTTTGAGGGGAGATAGCTAGTGTAATTTTTGTCCCCCCACTAAAAGAATTAAAAAGATTACTCAGATTTGAAGTTATTGATGCAATGATGCAACGGAATTGCAAAAGAGAGAAATTTAAATAAATTTGATACATTAGGTTCTTTTCTTGGTTCAAGTTAAGCCTATTTGGGTTCTGCAATGTAGTCTTGTAGATTTCTACCATGCATTTCATAATTCGGCATGATTTAATATTGTTTAGATTGTAACTCTTGGTTTCATTTCCTTTCTCTAATTTTGCCGATGCTTCTCCTTTTTGATTGTTGTTTACGATGAATTTCTTTAGTCCCCTTTAGAAGAACTGATTCACTTTTAGGGACTTCTTAGGGGTGACTAGTAACATCTTTGTATCTATAATTTGGTTCCATGTAGATTGTTGTCTCAACAATATGTTCAGTGATCTTACACATAAATCGTCTGATGAAGACATTGCTACGTTTGGTGATTAAGGTTTAGGTGGACGGCATTGAGAAACTTGAGATTCTGTTTTCTATAATTTTGTAGAATGCTTATGATTTCAAATTATGAACATATTTATTTGAACATAATATACACCAGATGATATATACTAACCAAAGTTGAAAGAGATGATGTGGTCAACCTCATGGCTCCATATTTCATGGTATTTTAAGAATGCCGGACAGTTCTCTTGTAACCTTTATCATAGGATATTTTTCCA